CATCCAAAAAACATGGCGGCACAGAATGCCGATAAGAAGGAGGCGTCTGAGTGGCAGAAGGTCCAATCCAAGAAAGAAAAAAGGAAGCAAGGCAAAAAGCAACTTCCAAAGCAATTGCCGGAAAAACTGCAGCTGGAGCCTAAGTGGAAAAAACCGTACAAATGGATCAGGCTAGACGCACTGATCATCCGCCCAGCTGAGCCTAAAAAGTACGCTGAGATTCTGCGGCGAATGAAGCAAAACATCCCTGATGAACAGGTCCTTACCACGGTGGACAAGATCCACAGAACCAAGACCGGAAACATGCTGATTACCCTCTCTAGGAAGAGCACCGACAAAGGCCAAGCCTTGCAGAAGACCATTGCGGATATTCTCCAAGAAGACGCCCAAGTAATCTGTAAAGGGCCACAGAAAGACGTTGAAATCCGAGACCTTGACGATACCACAACCGAAGAGGACATTCAAACCGCCTTGCAAACGGTGACTGAAGAGTCCTGCGAGATACCACTAGAGACAATTAAGATTCGTAAGTCCTACAGAGGTACTTTTTTTTTTTGTTTAAAGTTTATTTATTAATTTTTAATAATACATGTTTTATAATTATGAGGTCAAATAAACAAAAAAGAAAACCTTATAAACATTAGTTCTAAATAAGTTACAGGCTGTAGTTAGCAGCACTCGGGCTTAAACAATCTGTGTTATTAACTTTAAAAAAGAATTCTTGTGTTCTCGTGATAGGATGTTAATTTTTAGATCCTAGACAAACTCTGGTTTATTGTGCTGTTGGGAAAAAATTATCTATTAGAAAAAAAACCCTAGCGTAAATCTTTTAAATTATAAACTTAAAACTAGAAATAACTATTTACATATAGGGCATTCCACACCAAATCGGCCACTTTTTTAGGTCGACCTCTCCAATTTTTTTGAAAATTTTATATGTTTTCAATACCGTCAAAAAACACCTTCATGAATTTTTTCAAATTTTTTTGACCACCCGTTTTTGAGATATTGATTTTTTCCAAAATTCAAATTTTTTTTTTAAACAGCTATAACTTCGCGAAAAATACAGCTATCAGGGTCCGGTTTTTTTCAAAATTTTTGTTTTTTAATACTCTTTCAAGAAAAAAATACCTTTTTGATCTTCATTGATTTATTCCTATTTTTTTTTAAGTTTTAAGCAAAAAAAAGCTGTTTTTCAAAATGTATGCCCCCTTTGATTTTTTTGAAAAAATTCTCAAGAAAACTTGGACAAAAATAGAAAGTTTTCAGACCAATCCGATCGAGGGCAGATGTTTCGTTCTATTTTTTTTCTTAATTCAAAAAATTTTTTTTTCTGAAATTGCATGTATTTACTTTTACACTCTCATGCGTGTGCTCGGGTAATTATTTTTTTGTACCAAAGAAACAATTTAATCAATTTTTTCATTAATTTACCATTTATTTATTGATTTAATGAATTGAAGTTTATTTTTCACATCAAAATAATTACCCTCTTTCAAATTCATCATGCACGTATTAAGCGCCATCTATTGACCACGAGATTGACTAGATTTCTTCCTTATTCAAGTACAATTTTTTTAAGTTCTTTAGTTATAGAGATGATATTTTTTTAAGTTGTTTAGTTAGTTAAGAGTGTACTATTTTTTTAAGTTGTTTTGTTGTTGATTTGATTAATTTAAAGAACTATCAATAAGAATTTATAAATCGTTTTTACAATCTAAGGAAGGATAATAAGTCAACTTGATTCGTATTTTAAGTTTAAAGTAACTAAAATTATTTATTTTTTTTTGACGCTTAAACAATTTATGAATTTTGAATTCAGTTGAATTCGAGTATGGTTTTACAGTTACGCTTCCGTCATTATTAGGTATTACACAATGAAGTTTTTGAGTTCCTTTTACAGTTACTGTTCTGTTAAATCGATCTTTTAATGCTTCAGAAGCATTATTATAATCTTCTAACCCGAGAAAAAATATTTATATATAATTATATATATTTATATATAAATTGGTTATATATGATTATATATGAAAAATGGCCAAATATAATCATATCTAATTATATATAATTATGTATAATTATATATAACTATATATAATTATATATAACAATATTTAATTATAGATTTATTACATCTAATTAATTATTGGGTTAATTTTATGGATAGAGTATTTAATATGGTCCTACGCAATTCTGTGTAACTGATCAAAATGCAAAAAAAATATCTAGATCTAATTTTATGGCTATAACACCAGCAGTCACCCATCCAACTATTAACCCTACTCAATGCTGCTTAACTGTGGTGATCTCCGTGCGTCTTGAAGTTTCTGTCTGCTGTGCTGCTATCTTAGACAATAATGATTCTATAATCTACTTAATGTATCATATGAATTTATCATAAATATAATATAAAATTTGATTTTATAATATATTTGGACAGTCATAATTCATAATTTATTCATCTTACCGAATTTCATTATAATATAACACTTAATTAAATAATAAAATAAATAATGATTTTACTACTACGTAGTAGCAGAGCAGACAAAACATCTCATAGGAAATGTGACAAAATTTGTATTTCAGAATTATTTAAACGTAATTATAAACATCATTTTACACTTTTTGTGAGGGCATTCCACACCAAATCGGCCACTTTTTTAGGTCGACGTCTCCAATTTTTTTGAAAATTTTATATGTTTTCAATACCGTCAAAAAACACCTTCATGAATTTTTTCAAATTTTTTTGACCACCCATTTTTGAGATATTGATTTTTTCCAAAATTCAATTTTTTTTTTAAACAGCTATAACTTCGCAAAAAATACAGCTATCGGGGTCCTTTTTTTTCAAAATTTTTGTTTTTTAATACTCTTTCAAGAAAAAAATACCTTTTTGATCTTCATTGATTTATTCCTATTTTTTTTAAAGTTTTAAGCAGAAAAAGCAGTTTTTCAAAATGTATGCCCCCTTTGATTTTTTTGAAAAAATTCTCAAGAAAACTTGGACAAATATAGAAAATTTTCAGACCAATCCGATCCAGGGCAAACGTTTCGTTCTATTTTTTTTCTTAATTCAAAAAATTTTTTTTTCTCTAAACTATATTTTACGATTGAATTTCACTTATAAATACTTTTACAGTAAGGTAAAAAAGCCCCAATAGATGATCATGTAGGAGTATATGATCACTCCATATATTTGTATACCTATATTTGTAAATATAGATATACAAATACATGGAGTGATCATATATTGGTACGTGATCATCTATTGGGGCTTTTACTTTAGTTCCTTTTACACTTAAAATTTTTTTTCAAATATTTTGCTTTTCGGAGTGTACTATTATTTTAAGTTGTTTTGTTGTTGATTTGATTAATTTAAAGAACTATCAAAAAGAATTTATAAATTGTTTTTATAATCTAAGGAAGGATAATAAGTCAACTTGATTCGTATTTTAAGTTTAAAGTAACTAAAATTATTTATTTTTTTTGACGCTTAAACAATTTATGAATTTTGAATTTAGTTGAATTCGAGTATGGTTTTACAGTTACGCTTCCGTCATTATTAGGTATTACACAATGAAGTTTTTGAGTTCCTTTTACCGTTACTGTTCTGTTAAATCGATTTTTTAATGCTTCAGAAGCATCATTTTTTCTCGGGAAGGTTGAAAATTTTACAGTGATGTTTGGAATAGTATTTCTTTAAGAAGCCCATTGAAATAGTTTCAGTGGTGTTGTTATTTGATTGTCTACTGTTAACTGTAAGCTAGCTCTTGCGGCCATTCTCTTTATTGTCCCACCAATACCATCACATGGCCCTTTGCCGTGTGCGGTGGCAAAAAAGTGCCATTCTGCTTTAACTCCAAAATCACTTTCATGGTAATAAAGATTGACAAAATTTTTGAAGTTTTTAAATTGCTGCGGTTTGCCATCAGAAAAGTAGTATAATCTTTCGGGATGTTCGTTGATTGTCTTTGTAAAATCAATTATAATTTTGGAAAAAACATACACGGCAACAGAATCGTGGTTATTACAATCCGATATTATGACTATGCTTCTGTGAACTAATTCGTCTCCTCCTTTGAAGTATATTACCACTGGATAGATAGTAGCTGTATTGTTGTTCCAATGAAATCCTGAAGCAGCGTTTTGTACGATAAATGCGTAATTTTCTGCAGAATCACAGACAACAAGAAACTCTCCGTCTTTTAATGACATTTTTACAAATTTCATATAACTCGCTTGTTCTTTGGCAATAAATGCATGTGGCAGAAGTATTAAAAAGTCATCACTGAATCGTTCAATGAATTCATCAGCAGAACTGATCATCGTTTCTAGACTTGTACGTGGTTTTGATACCCAATATTTGTATGTAATGGTGTCAATTTCATTTTCATGAAAAATGTCTTGTAAAGTATCCGTTAGTGCATTTATTCCTGGACAAGTCTTGTATGTTCCAAAATAACACTCTGGTGATTAAGCATTACATATAATAGAATTGAAGCAATCCGTGTAGTGATTTAAGGGTCTTGTCGAGTTAGAAGTTAGTGAACTTAAATTGGAACCTTTAAGAAGTAAAAATAATTTATTATACGAGGTACAACAACGAAGTTAATAAAATTAATTTATACTTACCGAGCATTAATAATTTCATGTTTTGGTGCATTATGCACACATAAACTGTATGCGTGCCACTGCTCCCCGCTAACACACAATATTTTGGGCGCAACGAAGCGTATTTTGAAAACCCAATTTTGTCTTCAGAATAGTTTTCCCGATATTTTTGATACGACTCTTTCAAATTCGAAAGAATCAAACGTTTTTGTACAGGTTCTAGTTTACCATCATCATTTCGAACAGAGATACAATCTTTCATCCCGGGCATATTAACACTGCATTCATCATCATTGTAAAAGTTGATAATTTTTGATTTCAATTCATCTGAGAGTGAACGACCTGATGATAGAAAATTTTTGATGTGTAAAAAACAATAGACAAAAAAGTCAAAAGAATCCAAATAACGTACCTAATTTAGATTCAGGTTTTGACAGTAAAACTTTGGTTTCAAGCAAATTTTTTGCTACATTTACCAAATGTCTTGATATATTCATAAATTCAGAGATTCTCCTAACACTCCATTCTTTCGGGAACAATGTTAAAATTTGTATTTTTTCAGATCTTGTTGTTTCGTCATGGTCAAATTTTTTTTTCAATTGTTCTAACAGATTTGAAAAATCTCTATCAGAATCTTCTAAATTTGTCGACGCATTAACCTCAAGCCCAAACGTGCTTTTGAGAGTTTGAGAAATTTTAATAACTTTGTCATATAAGAATCGTTCATCACTCAATTTTCGAGGAGCTATTGAAGACTCATTCAATAACTTTAATGCTTGATTAATCACAGGTAGCCGAGTTTCTGCGCTAACTTCTGAAACCGAAGTAGTTGTTTCTAACGGTGTTAGCTCACTATGAAATGATAAGCTTTCTAAATAAAATAAAAAAAAATTAAATAATTAATAAGAGAAATTAAATTGAAAAAAAATAAAGAATTAAGTCCTTACTCAAAGAATTTTCAAGTTTATACTGATCACTATTATCGGAAATAATGGTATCTGGATCATCACTATTATCGTGGTCTCTATCGTTGGATTCTTCATTGCAACTACCATTATCACTGTCACTATTATCACTTATATCACTAGAACTACTTCGGTTCTCAGTGTCATTATGAGAAGGATTCTTTTATCTGAACTAAAATTTTTTTCCGACATGGAGTACAAAGATAATCATGACTACTTAATCCGAATTCAGTTTGAATAATCTCAGAGGCGAACCGCAGACCTTTTTTAATTTTATGTCCTTCTAAATGAAACGGGTTACAACTACGATCAAAATGCTTAGTTGTTTCCATTATATGAAGGTGATTCGTATGCGAGTTTGATAAGTTAAAAATAACTCCAATTTAAGTTCACACTTAAATTAATATTAACACTTAGTTGAAATAAAATTTAATTATACAATTATTCGAAAGAGTTATTAATTAATTGGTTAAGAGTTGAGCAATTAATTTTCAATAGTACGGTATGTTTATAAAGATCAGTAATAAATTCAACGTCAATTAAACAAGAAGAAAATACCGTGATAAAAGCCAATGCCACCAACATAAGAATTGTACTTAGATAGGGAAGAAATCTAGTCAATCTCGTGGTCAATAGATGGCGCTTAATACGTGCATGATGAATTTGAAAGAGGGTAATTATTTTGATGTGAAAAATAAACTTCAATTCATTAAATCAATAAATAAATGGTAAATTAATGAAAAAATTGATTAAATTGTTTCTCTGGTACAAAAAAATAATTACCCGAGGACACGCATGAGAGTGTAAAAGTAAATACATGCAATTTCAGAAAAAAAAATTTTTTGAATTAAGAAAAAAAATAGAACGAAACATCTGCCCTCGATCGGATTGGTCTGAAAACTTTCTATATTTGTCCAAATTTTCTTGAGAATTTTTTCAAAAAAATTAGGAAAACGGTTGACCCTGAAGGCCATCCCTGCAACTTCCCGCCAATTCTATACCTATACGCTTGAAATTGCACTTATGACGTTTAAGAGCTCTTCGAGCTCCTCAATACAATTTGTATATTATTTCGAGCTCTCCGAGCTCGAAATAATAGCTTTTGTATGCTTTTGAGCTCTTCGAGCTCAAAAGTTTGATAGTAGTTTGATAAAACACTATTTTTTTTATTTTCAAATCGCAATAACTTTTGAATGAATGAACCAATTTCCACGCGGTGGGCGGCATTCGACGAAGTTTTTTAAGCTTCATAAAAAATCTTTGAGTTTATATCGACAGAGTGGAAAAATTCGGAGTAATTCCGAAAAAACGCTTCTTTCGGTTTTCTTTCGTCAACGATAACTCACGAACCAATTAACCGATTTTGACCGGACTGGCGGCGATCAATGTGGTTTTTTGACATTAAGAGCTGATTAGTTTTTTAAATTGATCGGTAAAGCCGTTTAAAAGTTATTTCAAAAAAACCATTTTTGAAAAAATTTTTTTTTGTAGTTTTTTTACGATTTTTCAAAATCTATCGGTCCGAATTGGTTCAAATTTTCAGGAAATCTAAGTTTAGGCAAGCCCTTTCGAATGGCGCCAACCGCGATCAAATCGGTCAAGCCGTTCAAAAGTTACACACACACACACACACACACACACACACACACACACACACACACACACACACACACACACACACACACGCGCAAGGAGATTAAGACCAAGACAACTGGTGTAGTCAATGCTCTTAGAAGATACACGAAACTGGACGAGGAATGGCAGTCATCACGACGACTAACGCCTCGCGTTACGCCAGAGAAAGGCAGTCAAGCTGTTTTTTAGACTGAGGAATCAATGGACACCGGTGCCGACGGTGACGGTGAATCTGTGGCTGACGACAAGAGTGAAGGTGCTTCCAAGTCTAATAAGAGGAAGGACCGGAACTCGCCAGATCTAACAGAAAGGCGAGTGGCAAAGAAGAAGGACCTGAAGTCTAGTCCTCCGAAAGACGTGACGAAGCAGAACGTCGAGAATATTGACGCAGCTGCCTGGCAAAACGTCCAATCAAGAAAGGAGAAGAGGAGACTATCCGAAGAGCAGCTCCTAAAGCAGACTTCGAAGGAGCCCAAGACGGAGCGTAAGTGGGAAAAACCCCGCTAATGGATCAGACCCGACGCACTGATCATTCGCCCGGTCGAGAAGGAGAAATACGCCGAGATTCTGCGTCGAATCAAGCAGTCTGTCCCTGATGAACAGGTCCGTACGACCGTGGAGAAAATCCACAAGACCAATACCGGGGATATGTTGATCACACTTTGGAGAAAGAGTGCTGATAGAGGCGAAGCCCTACAAAAGACCATCGCGTACATCCTTAAAGAGGAAGCCAAAGTGATATGCAAAGGGCCACAGGAGACTATCGAGATCCGAGACGTCAATGACGACACGACGAAGGCAGACATTCAAACTGCACTGAAAAAAGAAGCTGGAGAAATCTGTGAAATACCTCTGGAGTCGATCAAGATCTGTAAAGCCTACAGAGGTACTCAGACTGCTACAGTGACGCTACCAGTGACAACTGCACAGAAGTTACTAGAAGGTAACAGCAAAGTGAGAATTGGTTGGGCCAATTGTCGAATAAGAGCAACGAAGAGACTTGTCCAATGTTTCAAATGCTGGCACTTTTGGCACTTTGGATCCCAGTGCAAAAGCAAAGTCGATTGGTCTAGGCTTTGCATCAGGTGCGGACAAGAAGGGCCCAAGATTGCTGATTGTAAAAATCCAGCCAAATGGGCATTATATTCTGAGATTGAAAGTGCAGAGAATATTGCCCACCATGCCGGTACCTATAAGTGCCCGTTATTTCAGGATGCACTCCAGAAGTTGACCAACAAACAAACATGAGGATACTGCAGCTCAATCTCAACCATTGTGAGGCAGCGCATGACCTGCTCATGCAATCCGTGCGAGAACTAGAGCTTGACTTGGTACTGATAGCAGAGCCATATAAACACCTGAGTACCCAACCCTGGGAAACTGACAGCACATCCAAAGCTGTCATCTGGTCATGTGGCAAGCTCCCTTTCCAAAATGCAGTCGACAACAGCAATACCGGCTTTGTAGCAGTATCAGTAGAGGGCATCCGCTTCTATAGCTGTTACGCACCACCTAGCCTCTCTACTGTCGAATTCACCGCATTTCTGGATCGACTTGCCAGGCTTGCCTGAGCGTGCTGGGACGTACTGGGACATGTTAGGGACATGTTAGAGACATCTCAGGGGATCAGGAAGTGGTAATTCGTAGAAAATTTCCTACTTGCTACTTGATATCAATTTGTCGTAATTTATCACAAATTTGAGATTAAATACATTAGAAATAGACTTTTTCCATTACATACATTAAATACATTAAAATTTTTCCATTAAATACATTAGAAATAGACATTAGACCAAGGACGCGAAGCATTACCACCCAGTGGCAATAGCCGGGGACTTCAACGCCTGGGCAGTAGACTGGGGCAGCAAGCATACAAACGCGCGAAGAAAGGAATTACTAGAAGCCTTTTCTACACTAGATGTAGTACTGCTCAACAGTGGTGACACACCAACCTACACCAAAGGAGACGCAAGTTCTATTGTAGGTCTCACTTTCGTCAGTGGCAGCCTCACCAGAGGTAATATCAACTAGAAGGTGATGGATACCTAGACAGCCAGCGACCACAACGCGATTCTCTGGGAAATATTAAACGCCCAGAGCCCGAGAAGACCTAAAGAGCAACTTAACACCATTGGTTGGAGGGTAAAAACTCTTGACCCAAGTACATTGCTAGTAGCTCTCAATAGTGACCAGATTATCGCGGGTTGCGCAGAAAAGAAGACCAAGGACCTGATGAAAAGAGTGACCCAAGCGTGCGACGCCAGTATGTCTCGTAGACGTGGCATGAACACAAGACCTTCCGTTCACTGGTGGAACGACCACATCAGCGCCCTTCGTAAAGAGTGTCATCAAAAGAGAAGATTATCTCAGCGTGGCTACCGACGAACTAACTCTGTGGAACTGGTTGCAGAGTACAAAAAGGCGCGCCGTGAACTGAATAAAGCCATCAAAGAGAGCAAAAGAAGATGCTGGAAAGAGCTCACATACGAGGTGGATAAAGACGTGTGGGGTAGGCCTTATAAGGTGGTTATGACCCACCTGAAAAAACAACAAATGCCATCACCTACGTGTCCTCAACTTCTTCAGAAAATCGTCATTGCACTGTTTCCACAGCAACGCAACTTCGATTACCACTTGGCGCCAGGCGAATTGGACGACATCCCACCTGTCACTGAAGAAGAATTGCTGGAGTCTTGTAACCGTGTAGGGAATAATAAAGCGCCGGGATTGGACGAAATCCCTAATTTAGCCTTAAAAACCATCATAAAGGCAGCTCCAACATTATTCCTAGACGCTTATAATGCATGCCTCAAGGAGGGGACTTTTCCTCGTAAGTGGAAACAGCAACGATTGGTACTGTTACCTAAAGGGAAGAAGCCACCAGAAGAACCGTCTTCTTACCGACCACTTTGTATGTTAGACACGGCAGGTAAGATACTTGAGCGTATAATCCACCAAAGAATAGAAGCAGTGGTCGATCCACTCCTGGCAGACAACCAGTATGGTTTTTGGAAAGGACGATCAACCCTGGACGCAATCAACCTGGTTGTTGCAACGGCCAAGGAGGCAATCGAAGGGATCAGATGGAAGGGTGGAGCGAAGAAGTACTGCCTGGTGGCCACTCTGGACATTAAAAATGCTTTCAACTCCGTCAACTGGGACTGCATTATGCAAGCCTTGGAAGAGAAAAACGTACCAGGATACCTGCGTAGGATAGTGGCTAGCTACTTCACGGACAGAATCCTGAGATACGACATGAAAAATGGTCCAAAAGAGTACGATATTACCGGAGGTGTACCCCAGGGTTCTGTTCTGGGTCCACTTCTGTGGAATGTTATGTATGATGGCCTGCTGAGACTGACTCTTCCAAGGAGTGTCAAGCTTGTTGCATATGCAGACGATGTAGCTGTCGTAATCGTTAAGAAACACCTAGATGAGATAAACCACATGTTCGGTATCACCTTTGAGAAAGTTAACCGGTGGATGGATTCAATGAATCTACAACTGGCTAAACAGAAGACTGAGGCTGTGCTTATTACCAGCAGAAAAGTAATAGAGACCACAAAACTGAAAGTCGGAGAACAAGAAATCACATCACAACCATATATCCGATATCTGGGAGTGATGCTTGATGCCCGACTCAACTTTAAGCAGCAAATCGAACACGTGAGTGCAAAAGCATCAGCAGTGGTAGCCAGCTTAGCACGACTGATGACAAACGTCGGAGGCCCAAAGCAGAGCAGGAGACTACTGCTATCATCTGTAGTCACATCAGTGCTCACTTACGGAATATCTATCTGGGCAGACGCACTAGAAAAGCAAGAATCATGGAGAAGGGCTGGACCAGTCTACCGTCTGAGTGCCTTAAGAGTAGCAAGCACCTTCCGCACAATATCTATGGAAGCAGTGTGTGTCATTTCCGGAACTTTGCCTCTCGGAATCTTAGCTAAGGAAAGACGGATCCTTTACCAACGAAAGAAGTCGACCACACTAAGCGCTGAGGAGCTTGGAACAGAAGAGCGGCAGAGGAGCATAAGTCGACGGCAACTACAGTGGGATGCCACAGTGAAGGGTAGGTGGACGCATCGTCTCATATCAAGGATCAACGTTTGGCTAAACCGGAGTCACGGTGAGGTCAACTATTCAATTATCTTACACAGATGTTTTCAGGACACGGCTGTTTCCGGGCGTATCTCCACCGCTCCAAGCATGATAATTCCCCAGAGTGCCCATCCTGCCCAGGAGTCAATGAAGATGCAGAGCACGTTTTCTTTGAGTGCTCACGTTTTTACCCACATCGGGATGAGCTGGAGAATATCCTGAAGAGGAAAATCCAACCAGAGATAATAGTAGCAGCAATGCTGTCATCAGAAGCTGCCTGGAACGCCACAAGCACTTTTGCTACAAAAGTGCTTACCGAGTTGCGATCCATTGAAAGGAAAAGAGCGAATGACAGAAACTAGAAGGAAGAAATAGCATCTTAGCCACCAGAAGGAAGAGCGGCAGCTAATTACTCCCCCCGCGAAGAAATGCCTTACGGCGGTACCATGGGGGATCAGAGGATAGAAGAGAAAGGGGTTTAGGGTTTAGTGGGTAGGGGCGTCTGCGTCAAGTTTTAGTATGACGCTGCGTCGAGTCGCCACATATCCGGGCCAACATCTATGCCTAGAATCCGTAAAAAGGATCCCCCCCCCCTAAAGGGAAAAAAACACACACACACACACACACATACAGACATACAGACACCACCGCGGGGGTAGTCAGGGAAGCTTCCTGTGACCTTAAAACGTCGAGATCTGATGAAAACTCAATTTTTGCAAAACGGGGTGAAAACAATAACTTCCCGATTTTTGAAAATCTGAGATTTTTAGCAGAAAGTTAAAAATCAAAGGGGTCATACATTTTGAAAAACTGCTTTTTTTGCTTAAAACTTAAAAAAAAATAGGAATACATCGATGAAGATCAAAAAGGTATTTTTTTCTTAAAAGAGTATTGAAAAACAAGAATTTTAAAAAAACCGGACCCCGATAGCTGTATTTTTCGCGAAGTTATAGCTGTTTAAAAAAAAATTAGAATTTTGGAAAAAATCAATATCTTAAAAACGGGTTGTCAAAAAAAGGGTGGTCAAAAAAGTTTGAAAAAATTCGTGAAGGTGTTTTTTGACGGTATTGAAAACATATAAAAGTTTCAAAAAAATTGGAGAGGTCGACCTAAAAAAGTGGCCGATTTTGTGTGGAATGCCCCATATATACATGAGAAGTGCAGCTGAAGCTGCTATTACAATGTTAAATTATAATATTTGTTCTGTTTAATTTATTTATTTATATTAATGCTGATTGTAATTTCTTTTTCTGAGCAAAAGCTTGGCGTATTCTGAACTGCGTATGTCGATCCACCAGTATTTTTTATGGTCCAGTCTGTGAAAGTCCGCTTCATCTGTTTTTGGCAAAGCTGTAGAGTACTTATCAGGTATCAGTTTGAAAGTACTTAGTTCTATATTTTTGTTACTTTTGTGTCTGCTTCTATGATAAATTATGGGTACATTTTTACTGTTCTGGATGTATCTCAAATTATCAAGAGCAGTGAACGCTTGTGGCTGCAGCAAACCCTTTTCGGAGTTGGTGTTCAAGTCTCCGCTTATATTCTTCAGATTTTTAATGGTATCGTTCTTTATTTAGTTGAACTTACTGTAGTAATCTCTGGTCAACTTGATCCTGTGATGATCGATCCTCGGAATGGTGGCAGCATCGTACAGCTCTTTGTTGCTAAATCTTTCTCGATAGTCAGAGTCTGGGCGTCTGTGCATATTTAGAGCTGTTCTGAAGCAGGATCTTTCGAATGCTCTTAGCTTTTCAGCTTGGGCTGCACCTAGGTTCCAGTTGACAGGAGATGCGTAAGTTAATGGCGGTCTGATAAGGAGTTGATAACAGATTACCTTTGCTCTGGAGCTGATGTGTCTGTTATGGAAGAGTCTGCCTAGTGACTTGTACGTGTTGCGAGCTTTCACCAGCTACGCATCTAGATGTGAGTTACATTCAGCCAGGTAATCGATGTTCATGCCCAGGTATTTTACGATGTTTTTAATAGGGACTTTGATGAGTTCTCTTGAAACTGGATGGAATGTTTCGATGTTGAAGTTGTCATTGTTGATTCTCTTGGCCTTGGTCACGAATCTGGCTGGTCTTCTGAACACTATTGTCTCACATTTTGCCGGGCTGACACGTAGGTTCCACAAGGCGTAGTAGTTGTTTATTTTATTTACTAGTCTTTCAAGCTGGTCTTTCAGTGGCTCTGGGTATTTTGCAGCGACATATAGGATCAAGTCGTCTGCATACGCTATCGAGTAGGTGTTATTGTCTTGATTCAGCTTGAAAGCGTTCAATGTGTGGCTGGTGAAGATGTTGAATAGTGTTGGAGAGATTACTGTCCCCTGTTGTAGACCCTCTTTTATTTTAAAAAGTTTTGGAGATTTTTCTCTTCCATTCCAGGTGTAGAAGGTACGGCCGGTGATCATTCTCCAGATTAGACCTACCAGTTGCTCTGGAAATTTGTTTTTGGTCAGAATGTATATTAATCCAGCTAGCCAGACCGTGTCGAAAGATTTTTCTAAGTCGATGAGTGTTGCTCCAATGATATCATCTTGTTCGAGATGCGATGTTACATCAGACAAAAGTTTGTTGATGGCATGAACTGTGGAGTGTTGATACCTGAAACCAAATTGGTTGTCAGGTATTACACTGTATGCTGCACAATGTGAGACGATTAAATCATTGATTATAACCTCGAAGACCTTGCTTATATTAGGTGTTAGGCTAATAGGTCTGTAGCTGGATGATTGGTTAGCTGGTTTCCCTTTTTTGAGGATTGGAATCATCTTTGATATTTTCCAGGCTTTCGGGAAATATTGCCTGTTGAGAGCGTTGTTGAATAATGTCGAGTAGTCTCTGATCATGGCCGTAGGCAGATGTTTGAGAACGAGTTATTTGGTGAGACTTTCGTCTGCCTCCTTTCGAACAGGCCGTTTCCTGGGCTTTAAAAAGCTATACACGCACGTAAAATAAAACCCAAATCTCACCAAACAAAAGCACCGTCAACTCGCCGGGCAAAGAAAAACCCTGCCCTCCAGCTTTTACGCTATCACTGGACAGAATGTGAATGGAGTTGTATTTAATTTAATGTCAATCTGTCCTCGTAATTGTTCACTGTATCAAACCTCCCCTATACAACTCCATTCAACGACTACGTTGGCCTGGCCGGTAATATAATGACAATCCGACCAGTTGCCCAGCGGGGCCCATGCGGGGAGGTGTAGCCGTAAGGCCTGTTGAGCTATAATATTTAGTTATCCTTGTATCTGTCTCGTTCGTTTGTTACTTGTCCCTTCTGTGATCCCCGTAATCTTTGAGTCTACCTGCGTTGCCAAATGTTTTGACAACGTCACGAGGCCTTACTCATGATGTTTGATAACGATGGACGGAATGTCATCGACTCCTGCAGAGGTTTTATTAGGCAGCCTTTTTAGAATCTTTTCTAGTGTCAGTACGGTGCCCCTGGCCAGTCTTTGCTCCAGTTCTTGGACTATTCTGTCCGCTACTTCTTTGGTCTGTGTATTAGCATTTAAGTATTTTGGAGAATTAATTGTTTCGTAGAAGGCTCCAATGATATTAATTTTGTCAGCTTCTTCTTTAATAATATATTTATTATTTGTTTTGTTCAGTTCGTCTTTCTTGATATCACATTTATCAATTAGATGGGAGTCCTCTTCTTTGATTGACAGATTAGGCATGTGCGATCTTTCCCGGGGTCTAAAGACTTTATTTATTATAGAGAAAAATTTTGTGTGGTCACGATGATTGACTTTTTTGCAAATTTTTTCCCAATGATTATCGATGTTTGCTTTAATTTCCAGCTGAATCTTGGAACGAATTGCTTCAATTTTAATTTTGATGTTTTTTATCAGATGAGAATTGGCTGTATTTGACTTTTGTTCTTTATGCAGTAGTGTAAGGAGCTGTGACTTTTGCTTATGTAGCTTTACTATCCTGTTGGTGATGTAATAATTGTTTTTTGGTTGTGCTGTGTTTTTTGGGACTATTTTTTCTATGGATGTTTTTATTACCTCATTTATCTGTTCTATATAATCGTCAATTTCTGCGATATTTAAGTTTCTGTCGTGAGGGATTTCAATGGAATAGTTATCATTTATGTGTTTGGTAAATTTTTTCCAATTTGTTTTTTTGTATAAAAACGAAGTGTGAGATTCAACTGATTGTAAATTTATTTCTAGGTTTTGTAGGTTTAAATCTATGAGAATTCCTCTGTGGTCACTATCGTAATTTAATGTTTTTAGTTTGTTGTTTATTAAGTTCATAAGATTCAATCTGGAGTCAGCTATGCAGAGATCTAGGTAGGATTCACTTCCTTTTGATGTGAATGTAGGTTCATGTGCTGTGTAGATTATAGACCTGAATGTTATTGAATTTTCTTTATCCCAGTTCACCAGCCATCTTCCTCTGGTTTTGTTTATCCTGTCGCCTAGTTCCCTGTGTCTGGCATTAAAGTCTTCAGCTATTAAATAGTAGTTGTTGTTGTTGTTCAGGTTAAGGTTGAGAAAGAGTGTGTTAAGCTCATCGAGAAACACTTGTTTAGACTCCAGTTTTGTGGTTGCGTAGAGACTGCCGACTATTAGATGTCTATTGTTGCTTAGTTTTATTTTTATTAGTGTGTATTCTATTATTTTATTGTTGACTGAGTTTGGGTGAGATCCGGAATAATAATAATAATAATAATCATCACCATCATCATCATAACAATAAAAATAATAACAACAATAATAGTAATAATAACAGTGACAATAATAACCCTACAGATAATAATATTAATAATTCCAAATCAAATACTAGTATCGAACATTTTCATCTTCTTTTCGGTATTTGTATGGAAGCACTATGTAATTCACGTTCTTCTGAGTCTCCACAAAATATAAAAATCTGTCTCAGCGCCCTATTTACTTTATTAGACTCCATGTGGGTTAGAAAAATTTTAACCGCCGATATTTCACTTCCTATTGAACTTTGTAATGTTCTTCATAGACTTTTATTGACGCAAGACAACTGTATAATTCAAATGATGACAATGGAAGTACTGAAACAAATTGTAAAGGCTGTTGAAGAAAATTTAGAAGAAGAAAAATTAATCGAATTAAAAAAATTGGTGCCAGCTAATTCAGAAGCGATAAATCGTGAAGAATTAGAATTATTGGGCGAAGGAGGAGAAACAGGAGAATTGAAGCCAGGCAAATCATTCATTTTTGCAGTTTTAGAAATTTGTCTTTGTGTTTTAGTTCGACAATTACCTGCTTTGAATCCTAATCCTGAAGGAACAACTGCTATTCTATTACAAAAAAGTTACGTTGCTTCTGAAGAAAATGGAAAACTTATTACTTTAACTCTCAGTATTATGGAAACTCTTCCATCTCTTTGCTCACCTCAAGGTGCTCTATCAATTCTTCCAACTCTTCTTTATTTAGCTACTGGTATTATACGAGAAACTGGAGTTCGAGTTGATAATCAAAATACCAGAACAGCATCGGAGTCATCTGTTCATGCTTCGTTACATTGTTTGAAGAGTTTCATTACAAATAAATATTCGAGGTATACGGTAAGTCAAAAACAGTGGACGGAATTACTTCAAAGTGCTCTTGCTAAAATAATCGATTTAGCTAAATCAGGAAATGATGAGACAAAAATGGATGAAGTTACAATGATGCTGATGCTGATGCTGATGTTGATGTTGTTTCTGGTTCCCGGAACAGAGTAACTTTTGACGGAAAGGCATTGAGGAAAGGACACAAACAGGATGGAGAACTGAGGTCTGAGGTCTTCCGGATGTGGGATGTGGAAGAACCCGGAGGCAATAGCTAGTGTGTTTGTTGGACGTTTCCAAGTGCCTAAACGGTTTTCCCTGGATCCGTTTGAGGATTTCCTGCTCTCGTAGTCAGCTCTCATTCCACAGTTGAATGCGTTGTTCTCTTGCACGTTAAAATGACCCTATGTATTGAGTGAATGTGTGCCAATATATCTATATTTATATCTGGAGATAAACCGAAAGGAAAAGAGGAAATAGTTGATAGAGCTGATGATAATGAGAACCCTTGAAGCAAAGTAGTCAGAGTCTCGTCGTCTACAGTTTGCCTATCAACAAGACCCGATATGCCTGACGGATATAGGTACCCTGTTCAATCTCTCTTCACCTCCTCTAGTATCAACCCTCAACCCTTCAACGGCTAGGCGTTTACTCCGAGCTTAACGAGCATCCACCAAAGTACTTGGCGACGATCACCACCACCACTCTAAGTCGGTGTGTAGTTATTATAGTGCTAGTGGATGACTCTGGCATGAATTTCCGTACTCAGAGAAAACGCCTCGGGAGACACAACCCAAATGCTACAGATATAAGATTTCATCAGATTCCTTTTTAGTTAAATATTATCTTTAACTCTTCTCTTACTTATACTTTTGAGGGTATATACAGATATAGAGTTTGGCTGTCAAGACTATTATAATGTTATATGTTATATATTATATATAGACATATGCATGCACCGAGACTACAGACGGCGACACAAACTTTCGGATAAGTAAATTGTCCAAAGTTTATAGTGAGATACTTGTGTTATCTATTAACATTAAGTAATCAACAGAATTAAAACGTTTGCACAACTTTTTAATGACAACAAACTTTAATTACATATTTTATTATTTGTTGTTGTATATTTTAAAGTTTTGTGGGGTATTGAAACTAAGTAAAATTAATAATTTAACTGAGATTTTTGAATTTATTATTATAACAACTCGGAAATTTAAAGTTTAGTTCAGTTTTGTTCTTTGAGAAAAGTAATTATTAATAAAGGTTCCGGCGTTAAATTCATATTTAATTAAATGTTTAGTTAATTTAAGTTGACTTAAACTTTTAATTATTGCACACTTTAAAGATCTACTTTTAGTTACTATCTTTAGTTGGAATTGAAAACAGACTTTTCTTTTGTTTTATTTAATGTGTTGTAAAAAATGGGATTTAGAGGTGACATTTAAATTTAAAACTTGACAACTGGAAAATTTACTAAAGATAGTCATAAAAAAATTTGTAATTTTTATATTTAAATAGTCATTGATTTTAGTTGCAATAATTAAAACACTGATTAAAAATTCACTTGATTTAATAAAAATTTTTTCAATTGTGAAAATTAAATTAAAAATATTTTGTCTTAAATCAAGCAACAAAAATTATTCAAACTTTTGATAAAAAAATTTTTCATCTCAATTTAAAACTTAAAAAAATATTTTAAAATAATTTTTTCTATTCAAAAACTTTTTTTTCATTGAATTAACTTTTGTATGAGCTAAAAAATAAAAATTCTAAGCATGAATTTTTGCTAAAACTCTCAATAAAAATTTTTACTCAACAATAAAGCTCTAGTTGTACAACAATAGTAAAAAAGTAAAAGACGAAATGTGAGTGAGCTTTCGCATAAAATGTCAGGAGGTTTTTAAAGTATAACTGAAAGTTCCATTAGATAACGTAGTCTTATCGACTTTGAGGCTTTCCTTCTCACGCGAACACGTGTGTATGCAATAACAATATTTCACGCGTAAGTACACTTATACAGTCTCCATACTATACCACGATACCACGGCGTAGCATAGTTATCTATAGCACTGCTGACACACTGCTGTATATCTATATACAAATATATGTATTTATATTTATAAGCATATATACGTAGATTTACATGTTCTAGAAACCCCTTGTTGGATCTCGGTTGGGTCTTTAACTTCCTGCAGCGATACCGACGACGATTCAGGCTTCCTTCTTCGTCGCAATGACTTGATTCACGTCAGATCACGTCAAAAAGGGAGAAAAAATATAAACATATATTATGTTTTTTTTTAAGGAAATCCTTTCGCTCCAGTTGAGTCGAAACAATTGTAGTAGTCAATATACGATAGATTAAAATAAAAAACCCATAAAAATTCCTTAAATTAAATAATAAATAGTATATGAGGTATTAATCGTTGAAATTTTGAAAATAAAAAAAAATAGTTAAATACAAAAATTAATTTGATTCTTTCAAATCAGCTGCTAGTAACCTGTTCGTGATTTGGCAACGCTGTACTTCGGTTGTTTACATTTTCATTTGCACAATATAACCTTAACCACGTTTAAGTTTTTGCAGTCAGTGTAAATAAATAAATTAGTTTGAATTTATTGAATGGTCTGAACTCGCGCGCTACGCAACGTTGCCAAATGTTTTGATTCCATTTTAATGTAGGTTACTTGAGAATTTTTTGTGATTTTTAAATATTAATTTCTCAATAAATATCTCGGTAACTGATATATTTTATCTGAACAAAAACAGTTTCACTGTAATAAATTGCGCCAAGTACACGTTTACAACTTTTGATTTACCAAAATACCAATGAGAAATTATCACTTTACAAAAAGACGTAAAATAAAAAAAAACAGACCAAGTAGCTGTTATGATTTTTAATAATTGAAAAACTTTTGTAGTAAATTTAACAATTAAAAACAATTTTTTCAACGTACTTGGCGTGCGTCATTGAGTACCTCAAATTTTTTCAGATGTATTGTAATAACGTCTCAAAATCCGTCAGATAACTCATTCATGTCAACAGTCAGTAGTTTAATCATTATCTTAACTCCTGTTCTTTTCTTCTTCACAGCATTATTGCATGCTTTAAGCGCGATCGCGCGAAGGCTTAGCTCTACTAGCGTCTAAGAATCCAGTTTCTTCTCTCGTCAAGAAAAATTTAATTTTAATCATCATCCTTCACTAATTATTTTTTTTTTTCATCAAAAACTATCCAAAAAGAAATGAAGTTATGTAAAAAAATCACTTTTTTCGAAATTTTTCGTTTTTGATAACTCCCAAAAGAATCAATTGATTTTGACGGGACTGGCGGCAATAGACGCAGTATTTTGAGTTTAAGAGCGGCTGAGTTTTTTTAATTGACTCGTGGAGTCGTTTAAAAGTTATTCTAAAAAACCGTTTTTTGAAAATTTTATTTTTGAGATTTCTCAAAATTTAGCGGACCGAATCAATTTAAATTTTCACCAAATTTAATGGCGTTGATACTTTTTGTATTGCCACTTATCTCGATTCGATTGATCGAGATGTTCAAAACTTATAGATTCATATGGTTGCATCAAAATAATCATCAGTAGGGTCAATGACTTGGTGAGGAGGGGCTGAAAGAATTGTAGTCCCTAAAATTACTTTTCACATAAGTTCTTTGGCCTTAGTTATCAGATATGAAAAAATTTGGGTTACTCAATGACGCACGCCAAGTACGTTGAAAAAATTGTTTTTAATTGTTAAATTTACTACAAAATTTTTTCAATTATTAAAAATCATAACGGCTACTTGGTCTGTTTTTTTTTATTTTACGTCTTTTTGTAAAGTGATAATTTCTCATTGGTATTTTGGTAAATCAAAAGTTGTAAACGTGTACTTGGCGCAATTTATTACAGTGAAACTGTTTTTGTTCAGATAGAGTATTGTAGTCTATGTCGTTTCTAATTACTATTGCGGTGCCACCACCCCTGTTTGGACCTGGTCTATCTGTTCTTACTATGTTGTATCCGTCCATTTGGAGTTTATGACGAGAGCTCAGTTTTGTTTCAGTGACTAATATGATGTCTAAGTCCTGTTCATCGATGAGTTTGGTTAGGTCAAGCCTTCTTTGAAGTTTAACTATTGAGTTGAAGTTGATTTCTGCTTTTCTTAGTGAGTTTCTGGAACTGCTAGTGTTGGAGGTCCTTGTATCTTGGTTATTGTTGTTGGTGTTGAGCCTATGAGTCATTGTTGCTGAATTTCAAAACTATTTATTTCAAGTAAATAATTTATCTTTGACGTGTTGTCGTTTATTTGTGCTTCTATTGTAGTTAGTGTTACGTTCTCAATTTTTGTGAATTATTTTAATTCGCTTCTAAATTTCTATTGGTGATTTTAAATTTAATAATTAAGAACTGACAAATAAAATTCAGGTTTGACATCGTTGGGTGATCTATTGACCCCCGGCGTGCCGTCACAGATGAGCTTACTTTTACCTCTCTAATAATTTAAAGACTCACCATTACGGACCCCATAGTTTTGCCCAAATAATACCCTTTTGAGCGAGCCTCCTGGCTTCAAACGGAGGGTAGCTGTCAAATCCGGTGCGGAGAAAGTACTCCTCAGAGTAGTAGCCGTACCATGGATCTTGAAGCGGAATTGTTTCACCTGGTG